TGGGGTCCTAAAAAGCTGACCACTGTGAAGTTGGCCTATAACCTCCCCCCCCCCCAATCCTCAAAAGTTTGTCAGCGTTTTGAGCTATACTCAGCAAGTGCAGTACAGCCCCCAACTTAGATTTGAAAGGAAAAACTAGTGGATCGCTGCTTCCTGACTGGTCGACCGCCGACCAGTCGGCCCTACTGGTCGGCTGCAAAACAGTTGGAGTCGGTGGTCCTCAGGTATATAACCCTGCTAGAAAGTGAAAGGTACACGTGGTTTTTGAAAATTTTCATGTCTGGCTAGTCGTGGAGCGAGGCCCTAAGCCGCTGCCTCTGGAATGTTCTTTTAACTGTGTGGAGATGTTGTGTAAGCAGTGCGAGATTTTCCTCGTTTTTCTCGCTTCAGAAATCTGCAAGTTGCTTCTGAAGGCAATCACTGCTTTGCAATGTGCTTCTACAGGTCTGCTATCATGAGGGTGACCGCCTTACTGCATGGCTGGAAGGATAATTCTTTACCATTGTGTTCAGAACAGGAACTGACTGTTTGTGCACTTGTGGGCCACTGTGTGTGTACTATTACTGTCCATGTGTGTGTGCATATGATTATGTGGGTGGTTTTTGCTGGATCTTCCGTGTGACTTGGAGTGCTGGCTGTGACTGAGCTGAAATAACTAGGACATATCGCATGCGGAGGTGTTGGGGTAGGTGTTTTCTGCCCGCTTTCTGTGCGACTTGTAAGTGCTGGCTGTAACTGAACTTCAATAACTAGAGCATTACGCATGCAGATGTTGTGCGCTAATTCTGACGTGCATCGAGTAGTTCGGGATGGTTCCATGCATTGCCGCATATGTGCTTGGCCGCATGTTCTGTGGTTGGTGGGTCCGTTGTTGTTGCGCACTCATCAGTCCGCAGGTGCATACCTTGTGTTTATTCGGGCGTCAGGATTTGTTTGGGTGTGTGCAAGCATTTGTGTGTGTGCTTTGATTTGTATGCGGCCTTGTTCTTGGATGGGAATCGATTTTGTTGCAGCCGGCATCACAAACATTCTGAAGGGCTCGGGGAGCGGGAAGGGAAACTCCATGAACCCTTACGACCTGGATTCAGAGGTTGACGAACGAGAACATCAGGTAAATAGCATGCCCTGCCTCCTGGCTTAAGTTATGAGGGCCCCATGACAGCCAAGGGTTGATCCCCGGAGCTGAACTGGGTGGGCCAGAAAATGCCAATGATTTCTCTTCTTTTCCCATGACTTCAGGTCCTTACCGCATACAGCCAGAACATGCGTCAGGCATTGTACAATATGTGGCTGGAAACAGTTGCCTGGGCACACTGCACATTATGTCGAGCGTGGTGAAAGATGCCACCAGGAATCGTTGGACTGCTACAGATCCTGGAGCGGCTGGCTCTCAAGTATGGTCCCTGCAGAATGAGAGAGATTGACACAGCAAGTACGCAATGCAGCCATTCCCTTCAGTCTGCAACAGACCGCCCCCACACTGACTCTCAAAGGTTCACGCAAAAATGTGAGTCACAGTGACCCTTTTCCCATCCCCCGGCGGCCTCAACAGATGCCCATCACACTGACTCTCACAGTGGCACTCAAGAATGAGAGTCACTGCTAACAATCCTGGTACCATACGAGGGTCAATCATCATCCACAATTATCCAATAGAGGATCTTGTGGTGCCCCCCAATTCGAACTCCATGCGATTGTTCTCAGAGTCACTCTCAATGATCCTTATTCTGCTCTTCCCACTCATTTCCTTTCCACAGACATGCATCGTAGTTGGATGTTGATTCTGCCACCTCAATCCTCTCACAAATCCTGCGTCTTTGCCATGCAAGCCTCGAGTGCAATCGCATGCTTTGTCGTCTCTGCAAGGTGAGGCAGCACTGATCCATCATGCCTGTGGGCTGCATGACAGGCTCAAAAGAAGAGGCCCAAATGTCAATGTACCTGACCTTCAATGTCTTATAGCCTGCACAGCGGCATATCCCAGTTGGTAAAGTCTAGCTTCTTCACAGTCTCACTTGGCAAATGGTTCCTCCTCTTCAAGCCCCCGCACAGTTCTTCTCAGTAGGATAAGTCAGACAGCGTGTGCTGCGAATGATGTGGAGGCGGAATGGCGCAGGTGGTCTTCCTTGGCAGTGGGTGTCCGTATCTTCTCATTGATCCTGATACGGACTTTCCCATAGTGCACCTTCCCAAACCTTTCTGAGGAAGAACTTTGTAGCATTCGGAACAGTCGTGCTTTAAACCATCTATAGGCGGCCTCCACCTGGCTTTGCTCACTGATGTCAGGCCTTTGGCTTCAGCCACTTAATGTCCTGAGGTTGCTTCGGAAGTGCGTAGGGGAAACTGGTCACTTGAACCAGGGAAAACCCACCAAACAAGTAAGAGAACTCAAATCAGAGTTAGTCAGCGGTGAAATGGGCGACTATTTTGCACGGTTTGGAGGTAACTTTCAGTAAGCCTGTGTAAATCAGATAGGAGTTTTGAGCCCAGTCCCTCACGATGATTCCACAAGTGGGTATGAAAGAAATGCAGCTGCAAGGACAGGCTGCTTTGTCATCTTCACTCCGTCGTATACATTCTCTGATGGCGCTGTCCCTCTGGACAGGTTGAAGGCGAACAGTTGTCAGTGCCCTCTTGATCGTGTTGTCAAGCTTTACCAAACTGGTGGGAGCAGTTCCACCCCTGCCCATCTACCTCAAGAGGTCATCGTGAGCATACGCGTGCGTTGGTGATTCCTTATGCACTTGATTATCACGATGGTCTTTCTAACAACCAGAGCAGCACATGATAGGTTGCTGATGTCCGGCTGTACAAGGCTGCAACAATGGGCAGCACAGGGGACTCGAGGTATCCTCATGACCTCACTCTTCATGCATCCTTCCGGAGTCTGAGTTGTCCACTTGTTGACCCTCTCCAAGCCAGAATGTGTTGGGGCCGCCTGGGAGTCTGTGGTGCCGGTCCACCAGCCATCTTGACCGGGAGCCTACCAGGCAGAGGAGGACTCCCCGGTCCAACCGGGGACCAGCACTGGTCCACTCTCAGTCCGTACTGGTAATGGATGGTCTTGTCTGTGAGGAAATCTCACAAGAGGAACTGAGAGTCTCGAATTGTCAGGATAACCTCAATACTACAGTGTGCTGCTCAGAAATGAGCAACGGTTCACTCCCCAACCCTGAGTAACCACTCGTGACACCCCTGAGCCCCTGAAACATCAAGCGCCACCCAGATACAGTGCAGACTTCCATCCGAGAAGTCTTTCGACACTTCGTCATCTTCAGATACTGTGGCGCTGGTCTTCTTCTTCATCCTCTGAGTGGCGCTTGGCCTCATAGGCCTGTTTCAGGGTGGCGCTTCCCTTGGGAGGCTGTATCTTGGTGGCGCTTGATGTTTCAGGGGCTCAGGGGTGTCACGAGTGGTTACTCAGGGTTGGGGAGTGAAGCGTTGCTCATTTCTGAGCAGCGCACTTTAGTATTGAGGTTATCCTGACAATTCGAGACTCTGTTACTGACAACAACCCTAAAGATGATGAATCGTCATGAAACTCAACTCCAGTATCTCGCCAGATGATGATGGTTGCTCCAACTCATCAATCGCTCCAGAGTCTGGATCCAATAGCTCTGATACCAACTGTTATGATTCTGGTTGTTTGCTGTCTGAAGACTAACACTCACTCACATCGACTTCCATGTATGCCCATACATACACAAAAGGAAGGGGAGAGGATAGGAGTATCACACCGCACAGGGAGAGATAAACACAGCGGAAGACTTGTCCATGCAATATGACAGGGTACACTGAAAGTGCAATTCACTCCACTCAATCCTCACAACCAGTCATAAAGAAAAGCCGAGTAGATCACATCCATTGTTGCAAAGAAACTGTGCAGGACAGTCTCAAACGACGACAATAAGATAATGTGCCCGCTCTGGTCTCTCTACAGTTGGTATGACAACTTACTCTACAGTTCCCTCTCCTCGCTGGTCTCTCTACAGGTGGTACTCTATCATCTACTCGATTGCATTTTGCTCCTCCTACCTATGCCTGCTAAAGAACATATCATGCAGGATCTCCTCTTGCTGACCCCAGGTAGTCCTTTGCGAACTCCTTTTCCATACCAAGATCTCGCATTTAGTGCCACCTCCGTCCTACACAGCGCCTCAAAGCTCTTGTGCCAGTCTTCCTTCTCAGCCTATGTATGGCTGGTTGCAGGCCGGATGCGGTGCTGCTTTACCCTGCTACCACTGCTTGGCAATGTGTGACTCAGTGCTCTGGCAACCTGGTGGCATCCTAGATCTGGAATGCCTCTCCTGCATGCACTGGTTGAATTAGTGCTCGGCGCAATGATGATTTCATCATTTAACTATCTGAAGTTTTTAACTTTTTTTCTTCCCTGATATTTTTCCTGGAAAGATCATGACCAAATCTACCGGATCAGAAATTTTCAGATTTTTCTGTGCATTATTCTGAGGGTGAAGAATCGCTGAAGATGGAGTACTTTTCCGTTGGCCCATAGTCGCAAAAATGGAAAATGCACCGAATTGGCGAGGCGAGTATTTCACGGTCTAAGCATTTTATTTATTTATTTTTCTAGTATTGTTCCCAGAAAGATCATGACGAAATCTACCAGATCTCAAAGTTTCAGATTTTTTTGGGTGTATTCTTCTGAGCATGAAAAGTTGTCAAAATTTGTGTTTCCTGTGTTTTGGTTTTCCGCTGACCTCGGCTTGAATCGCTGAAGATGGAGTACTTTTCCGTTGGCCCATAGTCGCAAAAATGGAAAATGCACCGAATTGGTGAGGCGAGTGTTTCACGGTCTAAGCATTTTTTTTTATTATTTTCCTAGTATTGTTCCCAGAAAGATCATGACCAAATCTACCGGATCTCAAAGTTTCATTTTTTTTTGGGTGTATTCTTCTGAGCATGAGAAGTTGTCAAAATGTGTGGTTCTTGTGTTTTGGTTTTCCGCCGACCTCCGCTTGAATTGCCACCGACGTCCACTTCTTCCCGGCTACCGGCCTCTGCCGCTGACCTGCGCTCCTTCCGGGCTACCGGCCTCTGAAGGTCCCGGAATGCCAACTTCTTGACGTTGGGGTGAGTGGTGGTTTAATACCAGAGCTGGGTCCCTGCTCAACCAATAGGCACCGCTTTCCAGAGTCTTCTGGTTATGGCCGCGCCCTACCAAGCGTCAGCCTAGACCTGACCAGGACTCTACTTCCTCTGGCCCTGAACTTTACTTACTCTGGCCCAAGTTCAGGGCCCGCCATCCTCGTGCTGCCTGCTGAGAGGCCCAAGAGAGGCCACTCTTCCATGTTAAAGCAAATTGTGCATTTGTCGTCCTCATCACAGCCACGATTAAACCACCAGTCCATCGGACTTTTTAATTAAACAGGTCCTTATGGCCCTTGCTCCATTTCCATTCTAGGGAGCATCAGTCCGGTTCCTATTCCACCGGCAAGTTAGAATAACATATGACATCACGAAACACACTTACGCTTCCTTCCGTCCAGCCGAAGGAACCCTGACCAGCATTGATTACTCCCGCATCGTGGAGGATTGACTGTCGTCCGGAAGGTTGAGGGGCGCGGCGCGGCGCGACCGGGAGCGCCGCTCCGCTCCGCTATTGACATGGGCCGGTTCGTGTGTTGGGAGCGCCGCGGCGCTCTGCTATTGACATGGGCCGGTCCGTGTGTTAGTGGCGCCTTGTCGGCACGGCTCTCTGCGAGGAATATCGAGGAGTTGATGTGGTGCGGCCATTGACGTGATGCTTCGGCTGAGGGTTCTTCCAGCCTTGATAATCTAGGCTGAAGAGGTCGCTTGCTCCGTGCTTCGTTGTGGTTCGTGGGATGACACGCTAGAGGAAGGGAAGGCTGTTGGGTTGATTAGGATAGTCTTCACGAGATGGAAGGCTGTTGGGTTGATTAGGATAGTCTTCACGAGATCTAGGGCATGGTAGTGGCCCTGCTCCTGTGCTCCTGCGCGAATCTAGTGAAGGTTGGTTGGGCAGCGCCGGTAGAAGGTGAGGAGCATCTTCTCATGCGGAGTGGGAGGAGAGGCGCTTGTTACAAGCTGGAGCGTCAGAAAGAGCTGGCGGTTTCAAGCATTCGTTTGAGA